ACGAGTGAAGTGATCCACTAGAAGATGTAGATATCTCTTCGTCGACCGCGAGCCTCCGAAGCCTCCAATTGTGTCTATGGAGATAATTTCAAATGGTTTTGTGGCGGGTCCTAAGTGTGACACTAGGCCATATTTAGCTTGTCCTCTTGTTTTATTCTTTATACATATATCGCAAGTTTTACAAATATTATTTATGTTTGCTGTTAATTTTTTTGCTGTATATCTTGTACCAATTGCTTTTTGCATTTGTCTTACACCTATGTGACACATATTTTCATGAATATTTTTTATAAATTTTATACTGAAATCTTCCGACAGTATTATTTTTTCATGTTTTTTTACTTTTTTATAAAATATGTTGTTTTTGTATGTCAAATTATTCTTGTTATCATGTATATCTTTATTTTTCTCTTGATCTGTGATGATATCTTCTAATTTTACCAAATTTACTATTTTTAATTGTTCATCAATATCTTCGTTTTCATTCAGTACCGGGTTTCTGCTTAAGCAATCTGCTTCCAAATTTTCTCTACCTGGAGCATATTTTATCTGAAAGTCATACTGCGATAAATAATACATTAGTTCTCCCAATTCTTCATCAGGTCTAGATTTAACATTCATGTTCTCCAACGGTTTGTGATCTGAATATACTGTGAATGGTTTCCCTATTAACCAATATTGCCAATATCGTACTGCTTCTTTAATAGCCAGACATTCTAAGTATATTGCTTTTTTCTTTTTTTGGGATTCATTTAATTTTCTTGAAAAATAGGCTACTGGCTTTTCTTTTCCGTCTGGCTGAATTTGTTTTAGCACTGCTCCAATACCTTCCAATGATGCATCTGTGTATATATTTACTGGCAAGTCTTGATCATAAATTTCTAAGATGGGTTGTGAGCAAAGTAAATCTTTTATTTCTTCAAATGAGTTTTTACAGTCCGTTGACCAAATGAATTTTTGATTTTTCCTCAGTAAATTATATAGGGGCTCTAATATAATTGTGCTCTTGGGTATGTATTCATGGTAGAAATTAATTTTCCCTAAAAATTGTCTGACATTTTTTCAGAGTTTTTGGCGTAGGGAATTCTCTTATTGAAATTAAATTATCTCTAACTGGTCGAACTGTATTATTTTCTATTATGTGTCCAAGATATTTTACAGAATTCGACGCAAATGTACATTTTGTAAATTTTAGTCGAAATCCTTCTTGTTTTATTGCTTCCAGTAATTGTGATAAATGGTTTATATGTTCATTATAAGACTTTGAAAACACCAGGATATCATCTATATAATTAACAGTAAAATCAGTTAATTGATGTTTTCTTAGTATGTTGCTCAGGATTCTTTGAAATATTGCGGGAGACGATTTCAAACCGAAGGGTAGACACGTCCATTGAAAGTGGCCTTCTTGTGTAACAAAAGCTGTTTTTTTTCTGTCTTCAATTCGCAGTGGGATGGACCAAAATGCAGAGTTAATATCTAATGTTGAGAAGTACTTGCAGTTTCTTGTTTTTATTACCAAGTCTTCAATTAACGGGAATGGTTGAGCTTGTGGTGTTACTATTTTGTTGAGATCTCTGAAATCAATACATAATCTGTTTTTTTTATTATCTTCTTTCTTAAAAGCTAAAGTTACAGGTGCTGCAAACGGGCTGTATGATTCTTCTATAAGATTTTTTTGAAGTAATTTTGCCACCTGCTCTTCTATCTCTTTTTTGTCCTCCATTGAACATCTATAGGGCCTTTTACTACAGTATTTGTCCGTTAGAAGGTCGATATGTGCTTCATAGTCTCTTACTGTTCCAATGTCGTATTTATCCTTCGCAAAACTCGATTTATATTTGTCAATCAGTGTATTTATTTCAAATTCTTGTTGAGCATTTAAATTACCCATTTTTATCTCAAAATTTTTTTCATTTACATGTTGATTGAAATTTATAGAGAATTTATTAGAGTAAAATTGTGCATCACTCTTACCTTCCTTAGAAGTCAATTTCTCATTTAATTCCATGTCAGTGTTGTCTTTGGTTTTTTGTGTGATTTCCAGGTTTTCATTCTGAACTAATCTAAACTTTTTTATCATGTCTAGTCCAATAAGGAAATCATATTGAAAATCTTTTCCATCCACAATATACACGTCGCATTTTTTTTCTATGTTTAATATTTTAATTTTTATTGTTGTCAAACCTCCTGTACTCTTCACACCATTAATTGTTACTAAATTTGCATTACTAAACTCTCTTTTTCCTTCTTCTTGTTTTAGTTTTATTAATTTGGAATTAATCAAGGACACATTAGATCCTGAATCATATATGCCAAAAACGTTTAGTTTTTCATCTAATGTAAGTTTGACTTTGATTAATGGTGTGATTGTTAGTTTTTTGGATCTTTATCATTTAATTCAAGATCTAATATAGTATTGTTTATATTCCTGTAGTGATTTCTCTTGTTTTCTTGTTGCTCACTTTTTTTAAACCAGCATTTTTCTTCTGGGTGATAACGAGTTCCCTTGTTCAAATTTTCACAGATTTTGCAGGCTTGATATTTATCAGATTTTCCTTTATTTTCAAATGTGTCTCGTTTTGGTCTATAGTAGGTATGTTTATTTGTTGTATGCTCAAATTTTCCAATTTCATTGAAAAGACTTGCAGTGGATGTAATAGATTCCTTATCAATTTTGCCCAATATGTAATCTGGTAGGCCAGTTGCGATAAGATTTATCATCGTCTGTGTATCTATGTGTTTATTTACCTCTAATAACAGCCTTTCCTTTTTCGTAGCATATTCCAGTGCTGAACCCGCTTGAAATTTATAGGCAAATGCATATTTAACCTGTGACCAACCTTTATTTCCGTATGTCTCAGTAAAGTTATTCTTCCAAACAGTCCATTCTGAATTTACAGTGAATTTTATCAACATACTAGTGTACCAATCATGGCATTGTTTCTCTAGTAGATGCTTTAAAGTCTCAATTTTCTCTGTATCCTGTAGTATTTCGAATCGTTCACACTCATTCTCAAATTCACCTATCCATTGATTCACATTGGAATTTTTTCCTGAAAATTTTTCAATTAAAAATTTTTCAGATGTTTTTCCTAGGTTTTTATTTCCAGACTCGACGTCGCAGTTTTTGTGAACTAGTGGTCTGGATTCCTCTGCAATTTCATCTAAATATTGATCTCCAAACTGTAAATTTTCGCCTTCATCTAAATAGATTTTTTTTCAATTCCGGAGATAATGGAATCCACAATTTACGTATTTGATGTCTTTTTTTTAGAGAATTCTTGACCTTCGTGAATACCTCTGTGCTCACAATACCCGTGTGTTTGCTTGCAGGCTTCATTTCGTCCGGAACATTATAATTACGTCCATCGGGTGTTTCAATTGAGGTTATACAGATTACATTTGTTTTGCCATCACTTGCCGCTAATACCGCAAAAGTAAATCTTAACTTCTCCATTTTCTTAAACTAGAAATGTCGTTTTATAAGACAATTCGTGTAATTTATAGGGAATCGGCGAAATAAACGTTTGTGTTGCTCTGAAAAAACAAAGTTTTATTAGTATAAATTATTTGTACATTTGTATTTTTCACTTAACTACACCTTACAATAATCACTAAACATACCTGAAAAAACAAAGAAACGACATTAAAAGTTATTACACTTGTCGATTCCCTTTATTAGTTATTTTATTATTATCCGATTGTTTACGTGTTTTACAATTTTAACATTTTACTGACGCCATCTTCGAAACTGTCTGCTTTATCTATAGTCCACTCAAATACCTTGACAGCGCCATCTATCAAGTAGCGAAGTAAATTGTTTCTGCTTTACCGACTAACCATAAAAGAATTTAATAAACAATAACAAAACTTAAAGAAATGTAATTTGTTTACTGTAACATATACAGTTTAAATGTAGGTTAGGCAAAGTAAAATGGCGTCAACGCAATCACTAACGCTCCTCTATCTTCTGCATTCCCTTCTCTGTTACTTTGGTCATATGTTTGGCTATCTAACCAAGACGTCCCGAGGATTGGCTATATTTTTTCAACTGCAAGAAAATTCAATAATTTAAACACGTAATTGACAAAGGAGTGCCATTTTTTTATAGACTAGAGGTAACGAACGAGCGTGCGGTTGATAGATTTCTACATCCATCCTCAATTAAGAATAAAAATTCGCTTTGTCAGCCTCGGATGCCTCGTTTTCCAGTAAAAAGGGTCTCCGGTTCTCTATACTCACCATACGAAACACAGCAGCATTCACTGCTATTTTATGCTGGTATTCTGTGAGAGCGTGGTTCCACCCTGGTCGAGCTGATACATTCGTGCTACAATGATTTTTTAGCGGCAGCTTGACTCTACCACGTATAAATAAAACCATTGAATTAACGTGTTAGTACACTCGTACTGGAAGTGACGCTAGAACTGACTCGTATCGAAGCCCGCGCCTGCCTCACAAACTTTTTTCGCGGTGTCTGTGCTAGTACGTTATACCCGTTACTTCAGACACAGAAGCTTTTTTATTCAATATAGATTATAAATAATAATTATTGAAAGTAACTTTTTTTATTTACTACTGGTCCGAATAAATATCTCTGTCTCACGAAGAACCAGTAAGAAGCCCAACAAGACGTTTTAAAAAAAATATCGGCTTACAATCATGTGTTACAATTAACAACACATAACAAATTAGAAATAGCTTGGTAGCAATGACCACGAGTTGTTATCATCCATAAATTCTTTAATATTATAATAACCCTTTTTATACAAACTTACTTTAATAAAGTTTTTAAACTTTGTGCAAGTCACATTTTGTCACATTTTCTGAGATTTTGTTGTAAAAGCGCATACATCGCCTCAAGAATGAATGACCCGGTGGAGTCGAGTAACTGGTACTACTAGCTTGTGTTAATAGATAAAACTAAGATTTTATGTACACACCTACAACTCTACAAACTAGCTACAAATAATATTACTAATAGTTTCGTTACGTCCTTAGAATTTAAGAAACACACCTACCAAAGCATCGCTGTTCTTTACTTCTCCGTTTCCAGATTTTCCACCAGCAGCATTACGTCCATTCACGTTTCTTAAAACCATCGAACCTACCCTCTTGCCAATCATCATCTTGCCAAGACCGAAGAGACCCTCGTTAAATCCTAAACCGGTTCCCAAGTCGAGTGTGATTTTACCTAAAAACGGCAGCCGCAGCCCGATTCCGGCTTCTGATCCAACGTCTCCGGTTGACCGAGCCGTACATAAGGTCAGACAAGTCAATAGCACCACTACCTGCATTTCATAAAATTTTAAGTTTCATAATTAGCCTTTAATTAAAATGTTAAGTTGACAAGGTTTTAACGACGCACAGTAAGCGCATTAAATACGAACAAACAAACATTAATTTTATACTTATGTTGAACTATATTATTGTTACAATGTTACGTGTAGAATCCTGAACGAAATTATCAAACATCTACTCACTATGAGCTTCATATTTCTGCCGTCGTGGTTATTGACCACTCAGGTTGTTATGACCAGTTTTATACGCGGCTGTGTCTAAGTCGTTTGATGCCCATTAACTGATATTACGTGAGATTGATACATTAATTAATGTTAATATTCAATATTGATACCATTATTATAATTATTATTAAATGTTAGTGACGCAAACGAATGTGTTTGTGCTTATTGTATTTAATACGATAGTCATTTGTATTGTATACTTTTTAGCCGATATAAATAAAACATGTGTGCAGTTCACAAGCCGTAGAAGTGAAACCTTCAGAAAAAGACTACGAAGTGTCGCACAAACAGGAGACCGAGATAATAGGAAAAACTATACTGTATTCTATATCATTCTCTCACGGGTTAAATCCTATAGATATGTTTGTCTCTTTTAAGTGTCTGCTTTTGCTTGTATCATTTACTTTTTCATTTCATCGAGTTTAAATTTAAATTTTCACTTCAAAAGAAAGGAGGCTAACAATTCGTATGTTTTGTATGCATGTGCTTGCGTGGTCACTCGTGCACCTGTGTCTCCGATGACACTGACCGCCGGACTGGAGGTTCATTCGGTCTGGAGTACATTGTTATTAATATAATAAGGTAACCGTGGTGTTGTGGTGGCAATCGTTCCGTGGATGCAGTGCGAGGCGACGGAGGGAAACTGAAACATGTGATGGACAGCAGCACTTTTCGATAACACGTCGTTAAGAATAAAACACAGCGGTTGTCAACTCGCCTGCCTTGCCTGTGGGGCAATCTATGGAGAGGAGGTTCGTGTTCACCAGTGGACGTTTGATGTATTATATAAAATTAGACCATGGCACGGCTTCTTAAGATTATATTAAAAGTATTTTCTTTATTTACAGGTAACAATGAGGCTGTCGACAGTCCAGGAATCAAGTTTTTGAGTAAAGATTGCCACCTTTATTCTTATTACTAAGGTAAAGGTAAAGGTAAGGTGTTTGGCAACACAAATTCTGCAAATGTAAAGTGAAAAAAATCAACTTTAACAAAATATGTAATTATATAAAATTTTATTTTATAAAAAATAATTATATAAGATATATAAAAGCCGACCTCAAAAGAAAAGATCCTTTTACATTATGATGTCGGTGCTAAGACATAGTGTATAAAAAATTAATTATTATATACATTTAATAATTATTATATTTAATTGTTCTTGGTTGGATTTTTTTTTATTTGATTACTTATCCTTTTAAATTACCTTGGAAATATCACAATATCAATGTCGTCTAAATAGTTAACATTAAAAAATTAAACATATTATATATTGTTACTTTTACGGGTGGTATTTTTCTCAAAATTTATGTGGTGCTATCACTTTTTTTTTTAAAGAATAAGGGTGACAAAAGAGTACACGGTCCACCTGATGGTAAATGGATGCTGTGCTGTATAGAAATTTACAGAATCAAAACGCAGATACTTAGTAAAAAAGGGTCTCTGGATCTCTCACTCACCATACGAAACACACCAGTATTAAGCTAGTATTCTGTGAGAGCGTAGTCCTTCCCCGGTCGAGGCTATAGTACTACTAGTGAATTATGACCTATATCTTAAAAAAAGAGTCATTATATAGTTTCTCAATTAACGACGAAATCGCGTTAGATATACATAAAAAACATACTGTACTGTGACTTGCTGTCCCCATTATGTGAAATGTCGAGCTACCCGAAATTTAGCATGTCTTCGATATATTTAAATCTCACAGACTAGGTTTCCTCACGATTTTTTCATTCATCACCGAGCACGTAGTAAATAAACATTTTAAAATGTGATTGACAATTTTAGTCACGACAACAAATTGCCCGATTAAAATTCGATTCCATGTTTTTATATATAACTAGCTTGCCAGGCAGACGTTGTTCTGCCCTTTTCGACGACCCTTTGTCATGTCCTACTAAAATCCTTAAATTAGCAACAAACATTGTGGGTCACTCACGGGCAAAAAAAAACTACCCTATCTCTCAAGTAGGGACTAAACTGCACACGGTGTGCAAATTTGATTAAAATCGGTTAAGTAGGTTAGGAGTCCATTGCGGACAAACAACGTGACACGTAATTTATATATATATATATATATATATATATTGAGATGTTGCCCGATATCTTTATGAACTGAGAACCGACTTGATGATATTTTTTTATTCCAATATGTTGTAATCGGAGATGGATGGATATAAATTAGGAAAAAACATTCGAGGTGGCAAATAGGAGATGAGATTTTAATTTATTTTTTTTTTGCGCCCGAAGCAAATATGGGCAACCCTCCGGGAAGCGGGGGGAGGGAGGTTGAGAATGCTCATAGCATACCACGCAGCCGGCTGCGTGGTTATGTGGAGACTTTTACCCACTAAACTCAACCTTTTAGGAATTGGCTTAACGATCTGACTAGAGATCTCTAAGCCGTATACGAACGCGACCTTCCTTGGCAGAAAGGAGGGCGCAAGCGGCGAAAAGCCGCTTAGAAGAGTGCCTTACTAAGGCAGATTAAGGGATGTGTTATGTAGGCTCAGCCTGAGCCGCCAGGAGGCAGTTCAGGTCAGCCGAAAGCTTGTTGGGGGGGTCCGAGAGAGAGTTTCTCGGTCTGCGCACACTATAGCGAGTGTGGATAGGGGCTGCATAGGCAGCTGTCTCACGAATGAGATGATTTGGGTGGGACTCTGAGGCTTTGAAAAATCTCTCAGAGAGTGATTTAAGGAACTGCTGGATTGTTGGGAGCTCTAAGTCTCGATGTAGGTCGGCATTACGGACATAATAAGGCGAGTTAGTGGCCCTACGACAGAATAGATTTTGAACTATTTGAAGTTCATTTATAGCTTTGGGCTTAGCATGTGCGAAAATGGGGGCCGCGTAGGTCATGACAGGTCGTATGCAGACCTTATATATGGTTCGCTTGTTGCGGAGGGACATTTTACTGTGTCTGCCCAACATGCTGTTGAGCCTACCCATGTAAAAACGTGCGGTGCGAGTAACCTTCTTGATATGGGGCTCGAAAGTGAGCCTTGCATCAAGGGTGACGCCTAGGTATTTGGCTTTAGTTTGCCATGGGACAGGGGTTCCTAACATCCTGATTGGCGGAGTAGTGGTGAGACGACGTCGTTTATATTCGAAGCAAACGGCGGAGCTTTTCTCCGGGTTTACGTCGATACGCCATTTTTGGAACCAAGCTCCTAAGTCGCTTACTGACTTTTGGATCTTGTTCCGAATCTGTGGTAGTGAGTTGCCTTTGGAGTAAAGGGCTGTGTCATCTGCAAAGAGGGCTAGTTTGACACCATTCGACGGGATAGGGATGTCGTTGGTGAATAGTATGTATAGGAGGGGACCAAGCACAGAGCCTTGAGGGACACCGGCTTTTATTTGACGGGTAGAGGATAGCGTGCCTTCGTGTCTAAAACGAAAGGTACGATCCTTCAGATAGGAGGCTACAAGGCGAACGAGACTGTCTGGGAGGCCTAAGTCGTACAGTTTGTAGATAAGGCCCTCGTGCCAGACTCTGTCGAATGCCTTGGCAATGTCAAAGAAGACCGCGATGGTTTTTTGACGGCGAGGGTAAAAACCGCTGAGGATGTATTCCACTATGCGGTGAACTTGTTGGGGGCACGAGTGTTTGGCTCGAAACCCGAATTGTTGTGGGATGACAAGAGGGTCGCCGTCTGTGGGAAACAAATGGCGCCTCAAGCGCACGAGAATGACTCGTGCGAAAAGATTGCCCATGGCCTTGAGGAGGCTGATGGGACGGTGATTGGAGGGGAGATGGAGAGGTTTGCCTGGCTTGGGAATGCCAATGACAGTTGCCTCTTTCCAAGAGGTGGGAAAGTAACTGAATTCGAAGCAGGCGTTAAAGATAATGGCCAGTAAGGCGATTACCTGCTCCGGGAAGTGTTTGAGGGCTTGGTTGGAGATACCATCCGCACCCGGTGCTTTTTTGGGTTTAAGTCCTTTGATGGTAGATGAAATCTCATCTTTGGACACAGTGATAGGGTCAGAGGCGGTAGGGGGCGAGTTCCTGCGTCGGACCTCGTCCTCCACTAGTTGGATGTGTAAGTGGTCAGTGGGTTGTGAGCTAGGAGAGCATTGAGCGGCGACGCTGTCCGCGAAGCACTCAGCCTTTTCTTCGTCTTCGAAGGCAATGGAGCCGTCGGGACGAGACAGAGGGGGAGTATGGGTTATAGCGTCTATCCGTAGGGCTCTCGCCATCCGGTAGTACGCTGTGTGAGAGGGAGAGATTTTCTCCTTGAGATTGCCCTTTTCGTGGTCTCTGTAGTCTTGGAGGCGGTAACGCAGTTTGCGTTGAAGGCGGTGGGCCGCGAATCTATATTCGGGAGTGGGATAGCGTGCAGCTCTACGGAGGGCAGCTTTTTTGGCTTTTAACAGGTTGCTAATATCTAGGGGAAGACTAGTTTTAGCAACCGGGACAACTTTTTCATTCTCTTTAAGAGAGGATGTTATAAGTGAGGTGAGATTTTCGACCGCGGTGTCTAGTTTTCCCGCACTGTCGAGGGCGTCGGAAGAAAGGGTTATGGGAGGGTCCGGAGAGTCTATAGCCGAGGCTAGAGACTTCTTGACGCCCTTCCAGTTGGTGTAGGTTTTGGAAGTGGGAGTTGGAGATGGCTGATGGCCAAGAAGGAGGGATACAGGACGGTGGTCGGATCCTAGATCGTCGAGAGGCTCGATTGCTCTAAGGTTAAGGGAAACTCCTTTAACTAGAGCAAAATCTAGCACATCAGGAGCGTAGGTAACAATGTCGGGATAGTGGGTGGCAGTGAGGG